GAGAAAAACATTGATGTGAGACAGAGACACACATCTACTGGTTGCCTCCCACACATGTCCTGACTGGGCAGAGGATCCAACCTGCAACCTAGGTATTTGCCCTTGACTGGGAATCAAACTGGAGACCTTTTTGTGTGTGGGCCAATGTTCTAACTAGTGAGCAACACCAGCCAGGGCCTTAAAGTCTGATTTTAAAAAAATAATAAAATACTGCCATCCCTATGACTTTTTTAATGGAAACATTAAACATTTTATTGATTCTCTTGGTAATTATCAGTAGGTCAGAGCTTTATTTTTTAATATATTTTTATTGATTTCAGAGAGGAAGGGAGAGGGAGAGAGAGATAGAAACATCAATGATGAGAGAGAATCATTGATCAGCTACCTCCTGCATGCCCCACACTGGGGATCGAGCCCGCAATCCAGGCATGTGCCCTGACCGGGAATCAAACCATGACTTCCTGGTTCATAGGGCATTGCTCAACCACTGAGCCATGCCAGCTGAGCTAGAGCTTTACTATATTTTTTTTTCTCTCCCATTTTACTCTACAACCCAGCACATAGCCTTGCATTTCCCCAGACATGTCCTTTCTGACATCCTGAGTGGTTAGGCTCTGACATCTCAGTGAGTAGAGACATCATTTACTCAGGGTCTAGCAATGAGACCTAGCACCTTCAACAGAACCCAGGATGAAGTAAATTAACAAGTAAATAAACCAGGGCAACCACTCTAGAATCCCTATACTGAGTGAATTCTGCATGAATTGGATTACCTGAAGTAAAAAATATATATATTGGCTATTCTTTGAAATTCCATGTGTATTTGTTAGGCCAAGGGAAGGAGAGAGACCCTGCTTCCCATTTTCAATAGAAGTCTGTATTTTTCTAAGGTGGAAGGCAAACAGCCAACCAACAAGACAATAGTAAGATTTTTTTTGTCAATGGTGGTCCCAGTCTAGTCCTTTCATTTCCTCAAAAAGAAATGGCACCTGAGTTATATAATTTTTTTGCGTGTCCCATTTTATCATTTTATTTTATAACTGCTGGGGTCCAACCCCAGCAGGTCCAGGGGTCCCCAAAGGTGTGGACGGAGTCGGTGAAGAAGGAATGACACGGAGACAGCGTTCAGTTGATCAGCAGCCTTGCCAGGATCTCTAGCCACAATCTCCAGCCAAGTTCTGTGTCCATGTTCTCTTGCTAGGTTCTCCAGCCAGGTTCTCCAGCCAGGTTCTGTAGCCATGTTCCCTCGCTAGGTTCTCCAGCCAGGTTCTGTCCAGTTTCTCCAGCCAGGTTCAGTCACCAGGTTCTAGTCAGGTTCTCTTGCCATGTTCTATCCAGGTTCTGTAGCCAGGTTCTGTCTCTAGGCTCTTCAGCCAGGTTCTCTTACTAGGTTCTGTCTCTAGGTTCTGTGTCTAAGTTCTGTGTCTAGGTTCTGTGGCCGGGTTCACCAGGTTCTGTCAAGGTTCTTCAGCCAGGTTCAGTCGCCAGCATCTCCAGCCAAGTTCTGTCTAGGTTCTGTATCTAGAGCTTTACTTTAAATAGAACTTTGTTTATTGTCAAAGCATGTACAGTATTTTCAAATGGCTTTCTATATAAGTTAAAAAATGACAGCATACATTTATTTCCCAAATTGTCATATCTTCTAAAAGTTACAAATCAATAGCTCCTATCTATCCCCATTATTTTTAAAGTTTCAATGTGCATTTATTATATTTGTATTTTTCATCACACAGATATATTCAATTTCAATTACTTAAGAACAGATTTTTTTTTTGTTTAAATATTATCCACTATCTTTTTTTCTGGTGAACTGTTGACTCTTTGCCGGTATATTAATTTACACCTTCGCCACAGGACCTGAAATAAAGAGAAGCAATTTCTTTAATTATGTGATTTTACCATGAGCACTTCTGATAATTATTTGATGGAAAATGAGATTGATATTGATGCTGTGATTTCTTCCTATTCCACATTACTTTGGTTCATAAAGAATTCACAATTTCAAAAACAAAAAGTTTATATATGCAAACTGTCATCCTGTGGACCAAATTTAGCCAACTCTATTTTTTTAAACATTTGAATCAGTTGCCTTGCCAGCATTTAAAAATTGGAATATTGAAAATAAAATTTGAGACATCAAAGACAAACTATCTTGTAAAATCTAAAGATCTGACGGCATTGGAACCACATGACTGTATTTCAACAATTGACCCTAGATGAGTGGCAGCTGCTCCATTTTTTTTTTCATTTTTTAAAAAATATATTTTTATTGATTTCAGAGTGGAAGGGAGTGGGAGAGAGAAACAGAAACATCAATGATGAGAGAGAATCATTGATTAGTTGCCTCCTGCACACCCCACAATGGGAATTCAGCCCAAAACCTGCCCTGACTGGGAATCGAACCGAAACATGAGCTCTTGGTTCATAGGTCGAAGCTCAACCACTGAGCCATGCCGGTCGGGAAACTGCTCCCTTTAAATAGGACATTAATCTCTGGTTTACCACAGAAACATCCAGCATTTACATTATCTGCCTTACTCTGTATACCTTATAATTATAGTGCTTGACTTTGTATACTAGACAATAAAACATTTAGCACATGCTGATAACCTTTTGCAAGAGACACTGTCCGTTCTGGAGCCTCAGTTTCCAGAGGGATATAAAATTGGGATAATATTACTTACTTTTAAGATTGTTATGATGATAAAGAGATTTAAGGTGCCTTACTGCTTTTTCATCCACATGGAGAAATACAAAATAAAATACAACAATTTAAGAATCTTTATGCCTTCACTGTTGCTTCCTTATCTGTAAACTAAGTTGTAAAGACTACCGATATTCAACCAGTGTGCCACAAGAATTTTTAAAACATGCAAATACCTATGTAGTCAGGGGCACTGACCTCTTTGCCCTTAGATTGTCAAAATAAATAAATAAACAACAACAGCCAACACAACAATAGCCGTCCAATGTGAATGAATCAGAATGTAGCTATTTTTTTTTATCAGATCAGCAAAAATAAATATTTTTTGGTGTGCTACAGAATTTTAGTAATTAGTTTATGTGTACCATGAGATGAAAAGGAAGAGGGTTGAAAATTGCTGGTACAGACTATAATAGTTTAATTGGAAGATGATTAGTATTTGGATAGCCCAAATTCTTTAATTTCTCAAGTGTGGAAACTGAGATCCAGAGTGGTGAAGTGACTTTCCAAGTGTTACACAGTAAATGGCACAACCAGGAAAATATTCCCTTTTTCTTGCTTTGCTTTGTTTTTGCCTCTTATAATTCTGTATTCTCTTGACAACATCATGTTTCTTAGATCAGAGAACTGTTTCCAGATCTTAGCTATTGTAAATAACGCTGCTACAAACATAGCAGTGCATGTTTTCTTCCTGATTGGTGTTTTGGGATTCCCAGAAGTGGGATCGCTTGGTCAAACAGCAGTTCTATTTTTAATTTTTTGAGGAATCTCCAGACTATTTTTCACAGTGGCTGCACCAGTCTGCATTCCCACCAGCCTGCATTCCTACCAGCCTGCATTCCCACCAGCAGTACTAAGGTTTTCTTTACCCCAAATCCTCACCAGCTCTTGTTGTTTGTTGATTTATCATTCGGGCAGGCAGCCTGGGCCTCCCTCTTTGGGGTAATCGATTGTGGAACCCCTCCCCAATCAATCGCCCTATAGAGGGTGGCCTGGGCCTCCTTCTTTGAGGCAATCATGGAACCCCCCGATTGATCGCCCCACTTTCTTGAGGTGATACCACATTGTAGTTTTAATTTGCATGGCTCTGATAATTAGTGATGTTGATCTTTTTTTCATATGTCTATTGGCCATCTGTAGGTCTGCTTTGGAGAAGTATCTATTCAAGTCCCTTGCCCATTTTATAATTAGGCCTGGGCCTCTCTCTGCAGGGCGATCATGGGGCAATGGCAAGGGTGCTCCCCCCACCAATCACATTGCACCCGCCTTGGCTGGCCTGGCGCCAGTGGGTGTCATAGCGTGGTCATCTGGACTGGTCCGTTTGGTCGATTTGCATATTATGGTAATCTACTAGTATATGTCCTCTTTGGAGAAGTGTTCATTCAGGTCCTGTGGGCATTTTTAATTAGATTATTTGTCTTCCTTTTGTTGAGTTGTATGACTTCTTTATATATTTTGGAAATTAACTTCTTCTCAGATGTATCACTGGTGAATATGTTCTCCCATACAGTGGGTTCCCTTTTCATTTC